TAGCTCTGTATGCCGCAATACAGAACAATTTCGATAACTTATCTCGTAAAAAATGTACCAACAAGAAAATTTTGGGATATAAACTAATTTTAATCATTCACCTCTCGGTCAAACCTCGTAACGACGTAGCAACATTTTTTACAAATTTTGTTTACTCCCTTCGACTGAATGACGAAAATTTATTAACTCCCTCAGTAATGCATTTCTATTATCAATTTAAGGAAACTCTAACGAAATTTTAAACATTCTGGAGAAGAAGTGTGATGACGTTACAGGAAAACGGAAACTAGACCGAGAACATGGAGCATCAGGAATGGTCCATTTGCTTCCTCAACGCCTTCACACTCTTCCTTATTAACTAACTTTTTTTTTGAAGGAAAGCTAGAGCAAATTTCTGGAATGGATGGTATTTTCAGTATTTTCGTAAATATGGGAATCACATTATTATTCTACCAGCTCACTGTTCTTATTCGGGTCAAAATGACTCAAATCCATGACAAACACGCATGCGTGAGAGGGCATTTATTTGGAGAAAATGAAATTTCGTTCATTGGAATGATGAAAAGTATACAGTTTTGAAATAGAAAAGAATTTTGTTTCCTAGAATGTGAAAATTGACTTCTATCACAAAAATGTGAGTTGGGTTAAAAAGATCCGACGAGGTAGTTTACGTCCCGATGTTTAACTTGCAGAACAAGGGTTAAGTGTATACAACTATTGTAAGTTTTATTTAACTCCTTAATCGATGACTCTTCGTGTTGATCAGTAAATACAACTGTGAGAATTGATGTAAAACACAACTGAAATAAGTACATTATGAAATGATATGTAGTTTATTAATATAAAAATGTGATATAAACCATCTAATACGTGATATTTAATACAATTACTTGCAATGGCGAGAATGTTAGGAAATAAGTGCCAGTGAATTCAATTGGTAATATTTTGCTTTTGTCATTACTTTCGATTTATTTGGTTCGAAATATTTGGTTTTCTGTCATTACTTTCGATAGGTTTGAATCTTCTGGGTGATTATATTCTAAGGTCCATTTTGTAAGGCCTCAATTTATTGATTATTTTGAAGTAACTCATTGATATAACTCAATTTTAGGTTGATACCAATGCAACGATAGACAAGACAAAATTTAACATCGTAAGAATAGTCATATAAAAGAGTTCAGGTCTTAATACTCAGATTTAGTATTTGTATGTGCATTAAGAAAACATAATTCATAAGTAAGAACTTATACATATGGATAGACATTGGATCAATATTAAGAGTCGAATTCATCGAAGGCACTTTAATTTAGTGTCCTTCAAGTGACATATCCATATACATAAACAGGCCTCATTCTGGGGAACATATGATCAAGAATGGGAAACAATTGACCTTTGATTTTTACTAGAGGTGACGCTCTATTCGTTCAGTATTCCTCATCCGGCCTGCATTTTACCACTGTTGGTTGTATTGGCTGGATCTGTCCGAACATACCTCACTTTGCTACTCGTTTGAAAAGTGCAAATAGCTCCATATTGGATTCTATTTTAGACCGTAACTTGAACTGAACATTGATGCATTGTTGGTTCTTCATTACAGGCAATTAAAATGTTCTTCCATTCTCTAAAATGTTCCCTCAAATATTGACTTAAATGTTCTCTTAAATTTTCCCTTAAATGGTAAGCTAAATGTTCCCTTAAATATTCCCTTAAATGTGTCTCCTGATTTTCCAGTCATGTTCGCCGCATGTTTCCGCTGTGGGTAATCTGGAAATAAACTGAAAAAATTAAATATTTTTATTCCAAAATACTTTTATACGCGTAACGGCGTGAGTAGAGTTACGTAGAGGCTATATCCTTAATAGTTAGAGCACCCAAAAGAGCGAAAACCTCCACACAATGTAACATAAGTCGCTCACACTTTTCTCGCAAAAACTGCAATCTCACTAAAACATAACTTTTTAAAGGGGAAAATAGGTTTATACTGGAGTCTAGCTTTTAGAGTTTCAGTAATCCGTAATATGTAGTGTCGGAATCATAAAAAAATAGATGTCCAAATTTTGTAGAATACGGTATAGAAAAAGAACTCACTTTGTATTCTTTTCAGGGACACAAAACGGTTTTTAGGGCATTAGGTTGCATCGTTTCCCAATTATGCACGGCCTCAGTTAATTTTTGGTTTCTTCAGAGCATGATCGCCTTTTCTGAAGCTTTCGCTCCGGCCACGTGGTTCCGGCGCTCCAGGCCCCGAGACCTTAAGGTCAATTCACGATGCAAACGCAAACATAAGCATAACGCATAGACGTAAACATTAACATACGTGATAGACTGAAGTATTTCCAATGTCTAACATAAACGTAAGCAAAATAAAGAGTTTCCATTGCCTGTGAGGCATTCTAGTTTACCATTGGTTGGATATGAGAATCGATTTTGAGTTATCGACTGTGATTGATTGTTATCCGTTTGCTTTTCCTTTATTTCTTGGCAACTCCAATGTCAGGGCAAAGCCAGGTAAGCGAATTTTGCTTCTATAGACCGGACTTGAGACCGCTGAGTAGTCGGCAAACGTATCAACGGACACCTGGGTCCAGAAGCGTTTCTAGGAATTCAGGCGTCCATGGCCTGCATAGAATATGCGACCTTTCAGGATACTTCAAATTCGGGTTGTCGTCGTTTGTTTTAGCTGGTATACACTGGTATGAATAAGATTCTCATGATTTTCGAAAAGTTTAATAAGAAATGTATTCCGAAAAATTGATTGTTTTTAATTTATCTTTTTGTATTTTAGGAATTGAAATAATAAAGAGAAAAACAAGAACTAATGTTTATCAACATTTCTTTACAGTAGTAGTAAAAATGTTATTATTTTAAAATATATTATCCACGTACTGAGAATTTACAAAAAATTTATATAAATCATTACATAAACTAAAATGACAACTATCAATCAGAATACTTAGTAATTTATACCTATATAATCGTGGTTCTCATAATGCGAAAACATTACATTTTTTTGTAAACTAGAAGGGAACTTCTTTATTTTACTGATGCAAATTTGCCAATGACAAATTTGTCAGATTCTTGTCTTTCAACACTCAAAAGCGCAAGGTCACACAATTGTTCTTGTCCCATTGTAGCTCTTAAATAGTATAATTTCAATTTTAACTTGCTGAAATATCTCTTACAACTTGTAATAGAAACAGCAACAATTGACATAACTTGAATAGCGATACGTACGTTTGGAAAAAATCCATATTCAACAATAGTGTCCGAGTTGTTGTTACTGATAACTATTTTTCTTTTTAAATTGAAGTAACATTTTTCGAGATTTAATGGCGCAAAAGTAAGCACATTTTTTGACAAGCCGAGCGCTCCACGGCTCTTAAATACGTAAAGAAAAGTTTATTTCATTTCATCTTTCGTGTAAAGTTTAATGTCATAAATGAAAAGGTATGAATTCAACGTTGTAGATAGCAAACGCTGTTCTGCATAATAAGTAACTATATGTTACATATGTCTCACTAAACATTATTTTCAACATTGAGAACAGCATGAACTGTCCCTAAAATTCAATTAGAGTGCTCGAAATTTCTAACAGTTCCTACCGTTAATGATAGGTGACATGGAGACATCGATGCAATTGACATCAGGAATCTTGTTTTCCAGCTGCAAGTAATAGAAAGTTCTGTAACTCCGATAATAACGTGTTTAATAGTACAGGAAATATCACTCGACCAAATTGCAATGCTCAGAGATTGAGAGAAATTCCTTTTAAAGGACCAGTCAGGCTATTTTCTTCCGCAAAGTTCTTTCCCGATACCTTAATTTAAAATAAAATGACAAATAGGAATTGTACGCGTTCCTCTTCGGAATTAAAAATTATTATATATGAAATATCTTGGGATGATTTATTTTAGAGAATTTTAATGTTAATTTGCAAGGCCTAACATTTTGGCTTAGTCATCGTAAGATATGTTGAATATTCGGGCCTATCTTTCTGAAAGTACTGGGGGAGGAGAATTCGAAATATTTTTCTTACGATGTTCTGTCTTTCGACGACCCAAACTACTTTATTTTTTATATTCTTTTTCCGCATTTGTTTCAATAAATCTAAAATGCTTAAATCTACATTGAAACTGAAATTGGAATTGATGTATAATTCTTAGGTGTGTTGCTTCTGTGACCACGGAGGTAAGATGCTGTTTAAGCTGGAAATGAGGGTAAAACTAAATTTATTGGATGGCTATCAATACACAAAAAATATTCTGATTTTTCGTAAACTTAAGAAGATTTTCGAAGAGCTGTTAAATTACAAAATACTTCAGAAAGGCAAACATTTTTATTAGAATATTTTGTTGGTCTTGCCTTTTAGTTTCAAAAACGCGTTGACGCTTACTTCCAAAGAGGCTATTTTAAACTTTATAACTGGACACCATTAAGTACCTGATGTAAACGTTTAGTATCTATAGTTGTGGAATTTAATAAATAAGGATAGATCGACCTTTCCGCGCCGGTAAAAATTATTGTTTGAGTTTTTAACAGACAGAACATCGTACGAAAAATATTTCGTATAACCTATCTCCCAGTAGCTTCACAAAGACACGCCCCCATTCGACACATCTCGCGATGATTACGTAAAAATGTCACGCCTCGCCACAAACTGAGCCTTTAGATACTTTTTGCACACTAACTTCAAATTTGAGCACATGCCTCAAGAGCGTTTGTAGGTGCCGAGGAAGGTAAACTTAAAGAGTCGTCAAAGAACTTGCAAATAGCCTCTTCAATTTGTACCGAACACTCACCGATGACGCCTTTATAAGGGTCGGTCGGAAGAGTGAGTGAGGAGCGTTCACTCGTTACTTGCGAAGGAACAGGCAGGAATGGGCTAGTTAGCGGAGGGGATGCGGTGGGAATGGCTCGGAAATGACTGCGAGTCTCGATGGGCAGGAATTTGCAATGGGCGGAGGATGCAGCGAAAAACACGTGTCCCCACTCTCAAACACCCGGCTCTTGTCAGATGCCGCGCCGGAGACTGCTTCCAATCGCATTGAAGCACCGCGGTTCAGGGCCACCGCGACGCGGCGTTCTATGAACAATCGATGGAGATATTTTTTTTGTTTCTCCGTTTCCTTTCCCGACTTAATTTCGTTCCAACAAAGCACGTGGGCTCAAGAACTTGTGCTTTCGGTTGTGTATGTAACAACTTTCCATAGCATATTTTCCCCAAGAAAAAAAAACAACCCATCGTCAGTGTAGAAGAATCGAAGCAATAAAACACCCCCCTCAAAACGAATTTCGAGTTCACTACCCGAAATTGCACCTAAATGAATCCTTTTCCACGAGTAAAAGAGGCAAAAGTATAGTTCAATGTATAGCTCAGATTTGGTTTTCATTATTGGTAAGCCTAGTTGTCGATTATTACTTTAAACCGCCCTCTATAACTTTCAAATGTTATTTTCTCAGCAAGTTGATTTTCTGACTTCCATCTCCATGATTCTTGACAGATATTTGGAGAGTGTTAAATAGAATACGTTGAGGCGTTTGTTAACAACACAAGGTAATTCCATTTGCGGAACTTTTACGAGAGAAACTTTCACGTTCAGGTGCGTATTCATGGTCACGTTAGAACATCTTTTCTCTTTCACGTTAGAACTAGATCATTTCATTTGAACAGTCCTCTCTTTATTGAACAGTGCGAGTTACTTTTGCTTCAAATTTTACGAAACTGTGACTTTTACATCAACCCCTAAACTTAATGTTGGGAACACATTTGCATCCAAAATTGAAACACACGACATAAGAATCAAGTGTCAGTGCCTATAGATAATTACAAGAACTTCACATAGTACGGTATTTTGTGACTCATTGCTGATGACATTAATAATTAAAAACTATTTACAATTCTCAATGATAAGTACAAAATTTTATGCTGCATAACTGCTTCTATACAACTGGAATTGGAACTGGGAATTGGAATTGGGAATTGGAACTGGGAATTGGACAATTGCAACCGAAAATGATAATTATCATTATAATTGATAAATTATTTTATTTAATGATTGATTAATTAAACTTAAAATGATCGATTAAATTACAATTGAAAACAACAGTAAATTAATTAAAACAGATACTTATAATTACTTATTCACGTTGTACTGCACATCGTGCTATTTAATAATCTCGATAAAGCTAGAAATAAAAAAGTATGAAGCATAATCATTCAATGCTATAAAATTTTAAAGGAAGAATTAAAGACAACATTTCGGTTCGGTTATATTAAATCAGTTTTCAGATTAACTGATTTGTGTATGAATCACATTTAGTTCAAAGCACGTAATTATGAATATTCAAAAACTCATGAAAACCAGGAGTCATACTCTGTCATTAAATTCATATTAATGCCAGTAGCACATGAAAAAGAACATAGTTGGGCAAAAAAACACTAACGCGGAATCAAATACCAACAAGAATTCAAGACTACTACTAAGAAAAACGTATTTACTGGGTGAAGCTTCTTACCAAAAGAAAATATTAACAACAAAATGTGTATACTCAAAGTAAATGAAAATAGTATTTTGGAACTCATAGCGGATCAGTCACAACCCATAGTCCAGTAACATATCAATTAATAATATTATTTCTAACGCATGTAGATATTTGCATGAGCATAATGTAAATTTGGGTTTGGTTAAACCTAAAAGAACAGCGTTCATTTTCATTAAAGCAACTGCGATCATTTTCATTAAAGCATCTGCGATCATTCTATTAAAACAACTGCAATATTTTCATTAAAACAACACCTTTTTTTACAACTAATCGACTGTTTTGAATCTTGATAGTATCAAGAAATGCAATTTTGTTAGGTAATTTAAATGCAAATTAATGTAAATTTAATGTCAACTTTAAAGTCAATGTATGGCGATTGATTTTGGTCGTGCCAACTACTCGGATCATTCTTACTTATGTGATGTGTAATGCATGTTATATCCCGGGGATGGAGGTGTTCGACCTTCAATAGAATGTGAAATCCGACGCCAATTTACACGTCGGAGTAGGGGTTATTCCCCCACCAGGTATCTTCCCCCGGAGCACCACGAAGCCGAGACAGACTCAAAGCAAGCTACTAATCTCCCGACAATAATAAAGAGTAATGCATGTGAGTGTAAGTGTGTATGCACGGAATTGTACAAGTTGTTGTTACTGATAAGTATTTTTGTTTTTAATTTGAAGTAATATTTTTTGAGATTTAATGACTCAAAAGTAAGAACATTTTTCGACAGGCCGAGTGCTCCACGTCTTAAACATTTAATGAAAAGTTTATTTCATTTCATCATTCGTGTAATGTTTAATCCCATAATTGAACAATTATTCATTCAACGTTATAGATTGCAAACGGAGACAGACAAGGATGGGAAGATAAATAACGCGTGCGGTTAACGCGAAGTTATTGCAGTCGGTATGAAAAAGAACAATTATGAAGCAAACCCCAGTTTATGTTACGTGAAGTCATTGCCATTGTTACGAGTAAATGTTATTGAAGGCAAGCTACGCAAGAGTGGCACGTTACGTCTAGATGCCCTAGATACAGAGAGTAGCACATTCCATTGTTCCATCGATCCCGCCACTATAGATCCAGTTGTCAGGAGCATTGGAACTGTGTGGTATTCTGTGTGCTGAGAACCATGAATCTACGTATCTCAAATTAATATTCTTTCATTTGAACAGTCCTCTCATTATTAAGCAGTGCGAGTTAGCTTTGCCTCTTCATTTACGAAACAGTGGCTTTCATCTCAACCATTCAACTTAAAGTTGGGAACACATTCGCATCCAAAATTGAAACACACGTCATAGGAATCATTGAGCGTCAGTGTCTACAGATCATTACAACATCTTCACGTAGTACGGTATTTCAGGAGTCATTGCCGATGACATTAATAATTAAAAACGGTTTACAATTGTCAATGCGAAATAAAATATTTTTGCAGCATTGTTGCATCTATACCACTGAAGTTGGGAACTACTCTGACAATCGCAACCAAAAATGATAATTATCATTATAATTAATAAACTATTTAGATTAAATCATTGATCAATTATGCTTAAAATGATCGATTAAATTACAATTGAAAAGAACCATAAATAAATTAAAACAAGTAATTATAAATATGACCATAAATAAACCATGGAAATAAATTAAACATAATAAATTAAAGCAAGTAATTATATTCTTGAAATTCTCCATAATGCTACCATTTGTTATCATATTTGCTCCACTTCTGAATTCGGCTTGATGGGGCGATCGAGTGAGAGGACGTTAAAAGGCAGTGGTGGTGACACTGATGTATTTATTTTATTTATTTAATAGGTAATAATTACAAACGAATTAGATTACTTGATCCTATGTGGCTAGGCCGAAGGCCTTTAAGCCATTACAATACCACATCCTTTCGCGTTCTAATTTTTCGAATTCTGGTATTCACCCCAAATGGTCTCTCCATCGCAACAAAGCCGCGGAAAAGAGACCACAAGGTACGGCTCAGGAAAAAAACCCTGAAGGGGGGAAAACCTGCCGTCAGAAGCCGAGTACATTCTAATCTATCCGACGTTTATTTTAGCTATTTTATTTTCTGGTGCGGGCGTCCCGCCGTCTCCTTCCAGTGATTGGCCTCCTCAGCACCTGAAATCAAGCGGCGCCACAGAAGATTGTCCGCACCAACGCCTCTGCCCTTACATACTCTTAGCTCCTGTCAGATCGTATAAATCTTTCGCCTTTTACTAAAGATTTCCGTGTCGGGGGTTACATAATGACACTGGTGTATGTAGTGTCTGTAGTTACGTCTTTCCGGAGCGAGCTCGCTGGGCTCTGCGGGCGCACGGGCGGCGTGCGCGCGGGGCGACGGCCGGAGC